ATATATGTTGAAATAAAATGACAGATCCCGTAAATAGGTCCTTTGGATTCTTTGCTCTATCAACAAAAACAATCCCCTGTTTCCATACGCACCAAAGTTTTGCCACACGAGCGGGAACATATATGGTTAACTTTATTCGGTATCCTATATATCTTTTGTCTTTGTTGATATAAGAAGAAAAATTGAAGTAGTAGCTATTGTACAGTATACAATACTATCGACTTGACGATGACCTAAAAGAAGAAACTAATTGCGCAATAAGAAAGCTTCTATCCTTATTCTACGATCGCATCAGGCAGAGAACAATTCTACAGCTGAATAGGCCAAACCAACTCCCGCTCAATCGGCTTCCCTGCCACCGCCTTATATATATAATATAATATAATAATCATCAGTACCCTGATCAATGCCAACAGCAGTATCGTCCGTATAAACGGCAGACGAGACCGGATTATCGATCGTTGCTTGGGCCAGGCACCACTCCCATAACAACTATCACTATTATAATTACTATATCCGATGTAGCTAGTGGCTGAACTGTGTTTTGTTCCTGGATGACTCGATGATGTAATTAACTAACCAGGTCGCCTTCTGGCCGTGACCATCGTGCTTCATCTACGGCCATTAGCCCCGTGGGCTTTAGCAGTTTAAAGGGCTGGACACAACACAAAACAAATACTCAAAAGAAGATGAACATTGTCGGGCTTACTTTATAGACGTAGGCCCCATGGGGGTAGTCATCTAGCCCGAAGCGGGGACGACCTGCTGGATTTCACAGACGTGGGAGTTGTTGACGAAGTTCGCTGATCTGACTATCGCGACCCCAGTGACAATAGCTAGACATCTGTTGGCGCTATTATCAGATGATCACTGTCGTTACAAAACGTCACGACTGTGCAACGTGTATCCGTTAAAGAGCGTTTAATGGTTACGAATTGCTCATGAGTTGTGGAAGCATTGCCGGCCACATATGGTCACGTAACGTAACGGCCTCGACTAGAATCGGAGTCGACTCAAAGTGACGGTTTTCTTAGCGAAACTAAAAACTCTCAGTATGAATATAGCGTATAACGTTATGTTAAAATACGTGCTACGGATGATTGAATAGAGGTGAGTTGTACAAGTAGCAGTAGTAACAGAAGTAATAGTAATTGCAACCAACGTTTCAATGGACGGAATAATTATGACAAGGTCTAATGAGTTTACGTGTGAGAAAAGGCAATAGATTTTCTACTAAAACTTAGTGATAATGAGAAAGATCAGCACAAAAACATGTCATGCTGAACGTCTCTTTTATATATATATATATATATATATATATGCTGAAGATAAATTTTCAAAGGGTCAATCGATTCGGCCGAACAAGAGTGTTTATTTCTTAAATGCATCTTATTTTGGTTAGCTTCAATCTGAGAAGGGAAGTCTCATTTAAGCAAAAGAAATTGAAGAATAAACAAGAAGAACTGTTATAACACTAATGAAATTGTTGAAATATTGGCGCCTGGGGTTTGCCGGACAGAAAGACCAAAGGAGTTTGCTATAGTCTTTATGACAAGTAGGTATTTTTTTTTGCCATATTTACTTATTACTATCAACTGGAAAATAAGGGGTGATACTATATGAGCTCGGACGTCGTGAACAGTCTTGAAGTCATCGTACAACACAACACCCGTCTCAGAACGATTTTCGATACTAAGTTGATTATATTAATTATGCTATGTTGTATTGCACGCGATACCTTGCACGTAGGAAGATCTGTGGTCTATTTATACGTTCGTAAAGTGTTCATATAACAGTGACAATAATATAAATTAAATGAACTTATCGTTTGGTACTTTCTATCATAGGAGGCCAGGCACTCTCATACATAGTACATCAGAATTGTACATCAATTCATTACCTCGTCAAATCGTGAACATTTTTTTCAGTACACAGTCTACGACCTAATGAAGTTTTGCACCTTATTATTATTATCATCGAGTCATAAACTACTGTGACGTCTTAGTTTATCTTATCTTGACCTTATCGCTTCTGTTTAAGCCTATCATCACGAGACGTCTAGCTATGTAGGGAAGTCGATACTAGAAGTGAGCAAAGGCTCCGTAAGATGTCTGTAACGCAACAGACCATCGAAACCAACGAATGGGTCGCAGTTGTGCGTTGGGGAATATCCGAGAAACCTGCTACGAATAGGAAGCGCTTTTCCGAATTTGTACCGTCTGTCGTAATGATCTGTCATTGTTTATACCTGTCGTGCTTCTTGTTATGTAGATTTTTTAATACTTTCTATTAGCCTTTACTATTATATAGCACGAAGTGGCCTAAGGGTTTGTGGACAGTTGAAAGGTCTTCGCTAGACATTTGCTAAAGTACGAGATATGTAAATGATTTACAATAACAAGCAGACTCAACTTCGTAACACGCTTGTAACAAAAGTGTCCTAACTGCATTCTGTGAACAATTTTAAAATTGGTCGATGGAGTCATTGAAATTACCACGGTAGTCACTGTTAAAGTTACTGCGTTTTAGACGTATAGTAACACTATCAAAACGGAACATAGTGTTATGGGAACTTAAGGATGGTTTTAGGGTGCCCTGGTTATAAATGTGTTACATAGCAAAATCACTGTAAGAGTTTGTTAATAAGTCCAAGTTGAGAAATTATGACTTTTCAAGAGACTGTTTTCAACTCGTCCAAAAACTTCCGGGCCATATTTTCGATAGTCAGGTTTAGTACAATTAGCAAAACATGGCCATAGGTCATCCGTTTTTAATTAGTTCGTTTGGGGATTCATCGTTTCGTTAATTCATTCACGAGTATAGTAGCAATAGGACAAAAAGCGTCTTAATAAGGTCTCCCTTAAGGGTACCAATTGGCCCCCAGTTACCTAATTGCTACAACTGTAGACGGCTTGTTGATTGTCCATTGAAAATTGATTGCCCCACGTGATTCGCGTACTTTGTTTAATGGAACAAAAACGCCCTCATATCAGCGAACTGTGACTCTGTCTTACGCAACGAATTCACTCTTAATGTTTCCAACATAACGAACGCAGAATCATTCTTTTGTGCCTTTTTTAATTCGAAATTCTTGTGCATTATTTAGTAATTTATAAACTCAAGGCAAATTTATGAAAATCGTATGTTTATCTAGTTTCGTATGAGTATACGCAATTCAGCTGACTTAACGGCCGCCCCTGTATCCGTTAGTTAGCGCATGAAAACATTGACTTATTTGAGTTTCGGTGTCGTCGATAAGAGCTTCCTGCCACTGTGGATTTGCCCCCACAGCCGCAGTCGCAATGATCTGCCCGTTCCAGCCATCACGCGAATGCTTGTTCTGCCATTTAACTTTCTTATGCATCGTCGCCATTACTGAGTGGTTATACAGATCACATATTTTTTTAGCTATCCTTTTTTTTGCAGTTACTTTAAGCATTTTTGTTTTTGTTATTGCGGCCGACGTTACTGTTATTCACCTACGCTGTCTTATACCGACGTCGTGTCCATAGTGACCACAAGAGCGACCGCTGCTCTCCGTTGCGTCTGGTCTTGCGGCGGTGCTAACGGTTGCTACTGCTGTAGAAACGTCCGTTATATCGACGCTGGCTCTAGCATTTGTTGCGGATAGTATGCGCTTAATACAGTAGTAGCAAAACGAGGGTCGATAGAGGAATCACGAGGGCGGGGGCTTATCCCGATAGCGTCTTACAAATCAGTCCAAGTGACTAGCTCGGTTAGCTGGCGGTATTCCCGGTTGAAATCAATAGCAAACAAAATGCAGTGAAGCTTAGAAGAACAGCTTCCGGCAACCGGTAAAGGGGTGTCCCTGACGTCGTTTGTTTGACGTGGTCGGCACTATTAGCGTACATCTTTCTTTTTAAACGGGCCGGTTTTATGAGACGTGAACGACGTCGCAATTAAACAGAGAAACATAGAAAAGCAACGTAATTTTACTTAGTCAGGGAAAGAGTGCGATTTTTTGAGCATCGAAGAAAGCTCTTTCGAATTGATAATAATAATTACATTTTATTTCTTCTTATTATTTTTAGCCATATTTGCTGTATATACATTATTGTTTTCGATTAACAAATAAAATAATCAAATATGTTTGGTCAAGTGAGCAAATGGCTCAATGTCCAAAGGACAAAGATATCCAACGACAAAAATGTAAGCTTTCAAAAATTACAATGAAAAAATATGCATCATCAAAGAACCTCAGTATTAGACATCGATAAAAATTTAGTTCCTTAAAGCTTTCTTAATTGTAAAGCTATAGCGGCTGGTGTGACCAACATTTTGACGCTAAATTTCTTAAAAAATTCTTTCCAATATATTTTATATATTTATTAATATTACTTCATAGTTTATAAGTCAAATATCAACATATCGAAGATGCTGGTTTTTGCTTTTGGTTAATAAAACATTTAATTTGTTTTCTCTTTTATTTTTTTGCTGCAAATCGGTTTCAACAAAGTAAATATGCAATACATACGTGGAAAGGACAAAAGGCACGTAATGAAGACTGTTTTATTCCGTGTGACAGTGAGGATGGAAATAGTCTTCAAATTATTTCCACCTTCGGTGATTTTTTGGACAAACTCTTAACGCATGTCAGTCTGAAAGCCGCAGTAATGAAAGTTCTAGGAGCAAAATATTGTTCCAAAATATTCTCTATAATAAAAAAAATTGAAGTATCGAAATTTTTTTTCTGGAAAATAAAACATTTTCTATGGCCTTTCTTGAGGTCAGTCAACAAATCCCAATGAACTGATTAGAAATATATATTCCTATGTCAAAAATAGTTCTTTCACCTGAACGTAGAAGGCTGAAAAAATCACGGGCATTTTTCGTGGCCGAAAATTTTGTCACTTAATAAGGAAGATTGTTCTTGTCTATGACCTCTCCAATCGGAAGCTTTTAATTGTTGCAACTAAAACATAAAGCATGCGCCTATATCTAAATTTCAATTTTCGAGCCGAAAATTCTGTTCGACAGGGAAAAATTCAACATGACGTTTTATTCAAAGTTTCGCTGATAGAAGGGAGCAAAAATGCAATACGTATCTTTATACTCAGAGCCAGTATTTCGAAATGAAGAGGGCAAAAGCCTAATATATCATTTTTAAGAATGTGTCCTGAGTACTTTTTTGAGCGCTAACATTGGTGAGGACGTTCCAGACACAGGGTCGATGGACCAGCCAGTTCTATCAACGGCAATACCGACTGAAGGCCGGCCAAAAGGTGACTCGATTATTAATGTACGCCATTCAGAAGCCGGTCAACTCTATCGACGTACATCGCTGTGACGTCGCTCTTCTTCTACGAAGTCTACTCACGTACATCTCTAAAAGCAAGTAAGCTCGGCCAACGTTCGACATCCTCCATTACAAAACTATGAAGTTTCTAACCATTAAATTAAGCCCCAGTTAACTTTCGTTTACTAGTTGTACCTTCACTACAGCTTAAATAAGTTTGTTTGATGTTTTGCACAATCAGCTGCTGTTAGACATGTCTTTCTCTGAGTACACAGCGTCCTTTGGCAGTTTTATGATAACTTGTAGTTTTTTTTTTTTTTTTAACTAATACAAGCCAATTTACACATGTAATCAGTCGCTTAATTTTTGTTGCTTCTCCTTGTAATGTGCTATAATAGCCCGCGAATTTCTCACCGTCCATATGTTTATCAGCTTACAGAGTGCGGTCGATTGGTTTACTTTCTTGGGCCTCTTCCAGAACTTACGTTTGCAAATGCTTATGCACGCAAAAGAAACCTTTTTGGGCTTTCCTTTGTTCCTGCCGCCTAGGACGGGGTGCTGTTCATCGTTAGTCAGAAGACACAAAACTTCTATTATTTGATAATATAGTACCGATTGATCCATGTTCGGCGCATAACTTCCGTTGCCATTGGAACAAACGCAGCTTGTTACTATTCATTAGCTGCTACGATAAAAATATATTATCGGCAGGTGTACGCCATCTGTCAGCAATAGTGGACATTCTAGCGGTAATCAAAAGTGGTCATGGTTCTCACTGTGAACTGGTTGTTCTACCCAATACAGAATACTGTTCCCTAGGTTTCATTTGCGTCGAGTAGAGCTTCATATACGTGACAATAGGTAATAGCCTGAAGGGGCTGCTAGTGTCGTCCGGCAGACTTGGAGCGGTTCGTACGGCGCAAACAAAATCTGATAGTGTTCAGGCAATATTATTAGAGAACGACAACTTTACGTGGTTAGGATGTGCTTTTTGTATTCAACTAATTCTTCACATAGTACGATCGAATTAAATAGTTTGCTGGATCATTTGTTGAGAGTAAGTGCACCTTAGGTTTCATAACTTTGTTTCTAAACTTTTCCTGAACTTACCTCTCAGCTAACATGAGTCACCGAACGGCTTACTTCAGCAAGCCGTCAATCGTGGATAGGCTATTTATTATCCTATCTATGTATATTATGACTGTGCTGCCTTTTGGAGTCAGCGATCGCTCGGTTTGTCGACGTTATTATCGGAAACCGGGTTTCGTTCTTACGTTATAGAGGCGCTGTGTCCTGTGTGAAAGTATCTAGCATGAAAAGCCCTGTGTTATTGTCTAAAAATTAACCGTTCCTATAACTGTCGTCCGCGTTGTACTTCGTATATCCTGTATGTATGTCAAAAGCCAGCGCTCATGCTGTTTTCTAGAGCTAGGTACTTCGAAAAGTCGGACAAATCGTATAGGGCGCACAGGAATTATTGTTAAGAAGCCGTCTGTCTGCGTTATCTGTTAAATTAAAACGTCACTCTTAGGATGGATCAGCTAAACGGTAATTGCATACACAGATCTATTTGATGTACAGTCGCCACTGACGAACGGGAGGTACTCCGGTTCGTGTTTTGAAAAAGAGCGTGAAAAAAAAATGTTGCTATAATTTACAAGATAACTTTTTGGTATGAGCCCGTTTGTCTGTATAATATGCACTATTATGGTGGCATGTCATGAACACATAGTAGACGTACGAATCTGGCATGCCCATCAACGGTAATCTAAAGCGATACGTAATTAAGTGCTGACTGATACAGACGGACTTCCCATGTGATAGTAATCGATGTTTAAGCTTCTGAACAAATGTGACGTTTATCTAACTATTATGTTTGTGTGTTCCCTGTGACCACGATCTGTCAAAGTAAAATACTGGGAAACACACTTACCGAATATACCTACGCAGTGTTCAAAATGCTTTCTTCATTACACATGTAAAACAGCGATTTTTACGCTGTATGATATCTAAATAAGTCCCAGTACAGTAAACTATATATTACTGCCTCAAAAAACTATCGACAATTCGCTTTAATACCAATTACGTACGGTTCAAATTAAAGTTGCCCTTTTAAAAGTAATTCTCGCTAGGGTCAATTCCATCAAGCGGTTTTTCAAAATGTACTGACAATCCTCGTGCGCGAGCTTTCGGGAAGGGATTCGCTTATTCCGCATTGTTTTGTTTTCTCTTCGCCTTGGTCCATATACATCAGTGCTTGAGGGTTTGTCATAACCGCTGCTGTTGCTCATGGAACATCACTACTTTGAAGATCTCGCGAAGTACAAACCCCACTCTTTTACGAAATCTGAAGCTTGGTCTGTGGCTAGCAGGCAAGCAGGCGGGAATGGCACCATGACCTGGCCAAAGGTTGGCGCTCAAGCAACAAGAGCCGTGCATTTTTATCGATATTTCTTGGCCTTTTCCCAAAAACTCAGCCTTTTCCTACTTGCGTTTCATATCCATTCACGTTTCGGTTTTAAATGTAGGTAGTTGACTTCAAATCCTAAATCTAGCTGAAGTTTAGCAAGACGTATGTAAAAGACGGTGAAAATTTGTTGGCCATCCAGATTAATTTTGCCGCAAAGGTCGTCCATACCTATATGGATAATTTTTGATGGCAGCAGAACAGTGAACGCCACGGGCGTTCGTGACACATCTTCATGAACAGACGCACCAGCTGAGAGATGAATCAGCGTCAACATCGTTCTCCTTCAAAGATTCTTGTATCCGTTGACAGTATATAATTAGGTGTTACTCGAACGGACGAAAAGTAGTTTAACCCAACAAACAATCTGACCACGATACCGAAATAACAACTTCCAGAGACCAAGCCCAAATTGAAATTACTCTTTGTGGCTGTACCCCGATTGCCTCATATTCAGAGATGAGGTTGTCTAGGCTTTGCTTATTTTTAAGCCAAACAAAACCTCACCAAAGACTTATACTATACGACAGGTCTATCTTCAGAGTACCTTTTTTCCTTCATCTAAATAAACCTGGGACTCAGGTACATAAGCAGATATACGTAACTGCTGGGATTTGTATCAAAACACTTTGGCATGTAAATAGTTGAAGAAATATCTTTTCCCCGGCAGACGGCAGTCTCTCTTTGTTACGTCTATAGAAGCGGTTCTCCGCTAATGTAATTCACGATTACAACTAAATACCGCTTATACCTAATAAAATACGATACACAACTATGACACCTAGGCGTTGCGAGATTGCAAGACGAACCAAAATGGAAGTGGACGAGTAAATATTCAACAGCCTCGCCCGCCAGCATTTCTAGTCTAAACAGGAGCTGGACAATTGACCTTAGAATAGTTATCTCGGAATCTGGCCTAGTTAAGGACATGGTCTACTTAGCCAAAGGCGTTAGGAATGGTAACATGCGGTAACCTCAACAGTTAATTAACCAGGAGCATTGCTGGTAATGTAGGTAATTGCTGGTATCCGCGCACGTAAGCTGTGCTCATGGATTCTAAGCAGAGCCAAAATGTTCAATAAGCTCTGTATATGCCCGAACTTACTAAATGAGAAGTTTATGGTTATGATTAAGTTAGATGCACACGGAACAAAGGAAATCCTATGTCTTGATGGGTGCAGACGAATAATTGAAGGTTTAAAAGAGAACGACATCCAAATACGTCTCAGTGTTGTATTCAGTACTTTAATTATGTCTAAAGACCTCACTGGAAAGCAACCCGCTGTTGGAGAGTACCTTAATCATAAAACGAACTTTTATTTCTCTCAAAATTGTTCATGATGTCATTGCCAGTTTCCGAAATGTATGATTTTTTTTTTTAAATTTTGTATTCTGACCGAATATATGCTCGCGAATTAAGGTGGATACCCATCAAAAAGCGCTGAGCGTATTTTGCCCGACTTTTCTGCATTGGCATTTCCATATAATTGCCCATGTACAGAGACAACGTTTACAATGAATCAACTCGACAGGCGTTCTATCAATGTCGAAAATGCCTTGAAACAAGCCTCCTTTAGATCAATATTCGAGTTGTTTTCCGCCATAGCGGAAACTATTTGCGACAGGGTCCGCCCATTAACACTGACCCGAAGGCCCGAACTCCGCAACGATAGCAGTGCTTCAGTTTTTAGAGTTCATCTTCAGCGGACAATAACTTTTGTGCTAAAAGCGCATGCGCCTACGAGACAGCCGAAGGTCTTATTCAGTTTTCGTTGTAACTGTTTTCGCTGTAACGTAATAACTGTTGTAATGCCCCGATGCCTCCCGTACCACCGGACTAGCCAATACTGTTTCTGCCTAACGAATACCGTAATTTTAATTTCTACTTAATAGACAGAGCCGTTCTGGTCGGAGATTGCCCGCCAACCACACGCCATACATTGATTCCGTCTGACAAATGAACGAATACCCATATTCACATTGCGGACTGTGCAGCTGATTAACTGACGCGTTCGCAAAGGTACCTCGAAGAGTCTAAAGGACACTCAACGAACCACACATACGATACAATCAATGGCAATACTCCGAATGCTTGCCGGAAAATACGCCACTTTTACATTACTCTCTGACGCTGCAGGCTATTTTTCTCGTAAGGCCTACAATACAGAACTACCCGCGTGCGCGCAGAGTGGCACATACGCGGACAAACAAATGGGTTGGAATGGACAGTTAGTGCTCGTGGACTGTGTGTGGCCCTGTTTAAGCATTGGACGGCTCCGTTGCGCCTTACAAGGGGCAAGATACCAACAGCGATTAGCTGTTAGCGATGGCCTAGCTTAGCACCGATGCGCGTGGTGCTTCTTCGAATGGCACTAGTGGCTCGCTTGAGTAAGTTATGAGGAATTAAGGCCGATAATGTTTGAGTCGCTGTTACACATATGACAAACTGGCCATTTGCAGGGCTCGTTGCTAGGATATAGAAGAGCTGGCCGAATAGCCTAGCTGGGATGGCTCGCAGAGTGAAGCCAAGCGAAACAACGTGATTGCAAGTTGGTCGTGTGGGCCGATTCAGGCAGTGATTCCGCTAGTGCCGTCTGTGCTAAACAAGAAAGTTACCAACATCAGCGATGTTCGTGGATGTTCCGCGTTTCCGTCTGATTTCTGTCGGAGAAAGAGAAAATTAAAAAAAACAACTTATTGAGCTCAAAGTAGGGAAATCTTATGCTCGATAAACGAAACTGACTGACTGACTGTCTGGTGTCAAGAGTTGTATGACGACTGTTACCAACATAACGCTGCGGTAATAAAAACTAGATTATATAGGGAGCCCACAGCGGACAAGTAGCAGCAAATTCAATGGAAAAAGGCAAAACATTACAGATGTATTGTCCGTTGTCGTTGCGATTCTTGTCAGAGATATTGCATCCGTGATTTGAATAGGTTAACTTATCGAACGACGGTGTTGATAGATCTTGGGCATATTCGACTTTGTCCCTATTTTCCGGACTGGCCAATTATGAAAGACTAACTTAAACGCGAACGCTGTTAGCGAGAGAACAAATGTACATATGCGTCTCTAAGGGGCAAGATAGCAACGAATGCTAATCTATCGATAACGGCAAGCTTGACTTTTCTCGAAGAAAATGACCTAGCTAAACACTGGCCAGTAAGTTACTTGCGGCGAATCGTATCCGATGGCCCCCAAGATACCACTTGTTTGTTATGTGAAAGCATGTTAGTTTTTTTTTTCTATCGTTGGAGAACATATCCCATGATAGCAATAGGTGCTACGTTACATTAGTGACGAAAAGCATAATTTCAAGCAAAGAGCAGACCTAAGCTGCTCCCCTACTTCTAATGGGAAGAAATAAACACTATTATCATAACATGATATAACCTTTATCTAGCCTTTATGTAGCCTGTTATCTGTCCAGTTAGCACAGTGTAAACTATAAAACAGTTTCTTACCATGGATTCTTATAGGGTCAAAAGATGTTCGGCAAATTAAAATAACCTCTAATAATAATAAATAATAATAATGTTTGCTAACGTTTTTCATCATTTTTTTAATCATTTTTTATTAGTATCTTTGAATAAGGTATTCAGTTGTCTTAGTAACGTTAGCTCGACTAAACGCGTTCACCTGTAGCTTATAGTTCGTCTTGGAACATAAATTCAATGGATTGAGTCACGAAGCGTGTTAAAACTGAATATGGGTCCTTACTCGGTTTTGTACCGACTTTGTAGTTAGTTCTTTTTCGAAGAGAGGTGACAGTGGATGCGACGCAGATCGGTACGTGTGTTAAACAACGACCCGCGGTTCATCGTGTTCTTTTTTGCCTTGTCTCAATCTGCCTGGCTATGTTACCTGACGAACACCACAGGCCCACAAAGACATCGACTTAACAGAACTTCTTTATTTTCTCTCTCAAATAGCTAAACAGAAATGACACAGAAAAATTTAAGGCCAGCTCTTGATTGTCTTAGCTGCGTTTATTTCATTTCAGGATCTGAAAATCCAACGGAGCAGCAGGCGAGCCTTGTTAGGGAACTACATCGTCTCACAGAAGTTCATACCACTACAAAATGCTTTACCCGGCAATTTATTTTCGAGGACATTCGTGGCTGATCATTCCGCTGAGAAATTCGACGAATGAAATCATTGTCACACTATGAATGAAAGAAACTACAACAGATGCTCCTGAACTGCTGCAAGGCCAAGGTCTAAGATAAAAAATTATGGTTCCTTTTAAAAAAGTTAGCGGTGAAGGCAACGGCGGCGGCAACAACGAAAACGAGGGGGTGCCTTTACGGAAGGTAGCCTGAATCGATAGAACTACTCATTCAGATATAGGGCAAAAGTTGTCCATAGGAAGAGAAATAAGAACACGGCTTAACTACAGGCTTCTCCGAGAGAGCATACTACAAATCGTTGTTATCGACTACAAATTCGGAGATTGAATTTCTTGTTTTTCTTGGATCTTGTTTTTCGAGGCCTAAAATTTCAAAGCCTAATATTTGGAATCTAGCGTCGCACTCCATAGCGACATTTTAGGAGCATGCCAAGTTGGAGTGTTTATTTCTTGAGGGTCGGAAAAAATCAATAGAGGAGCTATAGGCAGACATGAACGGAACCGTAGCGCAAGTATACTGGTCAGTCACAATCACAAACTCTCATTTTCTCTTGACCGAATCAGCAGAGTCAAAACCCACATGAAGAAATTGTCACACAGCTACCCCGAAAATACTAGAATAAAGTGAGTTGTTGTAAATATTACTGAACCAGACAGAAATACAAAAACGGGTTCCGTGTATTCCTTCGGGCAATTGAATTTTAACTATCCACTAATTTATATTATTATCATGTGAATCAAAGTTTTCACTGAGCAAATTACGTAACAACCTCGGCTGGGCTTGTAGTTTCCAGGGGGTTCATGCAGAATTTCTAGGGGTGGATTCTGATACACGAATCGCTGGTTAGCTTTCGTGTCATCCTGCCGGGAGCAACTTCCAAAGATAAATGTTTTGTTGTAATTCAGTGTAGCATTATATGATATATACAATACATTATGGAAGATGTGAAAAGAATTTCGGTAACTGCAGACCCAACTGGTAGAAGCAATTCTAAAGGTAGTAGTAGTAGTAGTCTTTATTGGAACATGTGAGAAGATTTGCATCGGCTTTGCTGATTTGCAATGTTCTCTTTTACTACAACTTCAACTTACAATAGTCGAAATTTAAGTTCTTATTGATTTAATGCACATGCCAGATTAGAGTTTAACGACCGAAGGCGAAGACGTGCCGCGCTTAAACTCCTGCGCGATTACTCAAGCCTGTAAACATGAAAAATTCGGGCTTCATTTGTACCAAAAACTTTTGGCTCTTTTCGCCAGTTCGCTAGGTGCAGCGAATGTTTCTCTATTTAAATCTCGGGTAACAAAAACCTGTGTTTTGTTGATGTGAGGTAGATATGCTTTATACTTTGCTAAAGTGTAAAGCTTTATAGGGCTTTATATAGACTTTAGAGGGCTGGCGCTGGAGAAAGCAGAACTATATATAAGCAAAACCTAGGGGACATGCAAGTAGCATAGGCTCCAATCTGAGCATGGGCACACTTTTGTCGTCTATTAAAACTCAAGTAACGGAAAGTAAGTAGATTAGTCCGTTTATCTATCGAATCTCTCCCGATTGCTCATATTAAGTGCTCTTCGTTACGAAGCTTTTACAAATGTCAAACATATTCCCGGTTTGATTTAAAATTATTATCTCTAAAAAAAGGATTTCAATAGGCGCTTAAAATCGGTTGAAGTGGCTCCACTTCGAAGTAGTCGTTTCTACTATGTAAAGTATCGTCACTTGTGGTAAACAAAGACCAGAGTGGCCCTTCAGTGTTCGATTAAGGGTAACTGTGAATAATAGAATGTGTTAGTTTTTGTTACTCGTTCAACGCGTTCTTATGGAGCGTAAACTCGATAGAAAATTAATTTCAGCGCAGGTAACGATCACATCGATTAAAGGCATCTTTCAACTGTAGAAAACACTTGGTCAAGCCTAGACGGTGTTTCAAAACGGAAAACCGTTAAAAAAGATGGCAAGCATGCGTGTCGTAAGCCAACAACTTTCAAAATAAGTGCTGTTATTTATTAGTATTGTGATTAACTTTTGGCGCTGAAGCCAAATTGTTCCATTAGTGAAAAGATGACATCCGTTTCGGAGTACTCTTAGCGGTACTACTGAATTTTCATGATAAGTATATGGCTGCCAGCCGAATTGATCTTTTAGAACTGCCCTATTATCTTTATATTCGCCGCAATCAATTTCTGTGTTTAATATGCCTTGCAATACGCTGGTTATCGGTGTTATCTGTGTATTACTGGAATTACTAACGTCGCCGTCATTAAATGGCTATTTTATGGCATCGCCTATTCAGACGAATCCAAAATACAACGGGGTAGTCGTCCCTGCGTTAGTTTGACGTCTAAACTTGGTACTCCTGCTGGTTCATGTGTGATTTGCATCAAATAAATAGCGGGGTTAATACTATTTTTTTTTTAAATGTAACAAGCGTCCAGTTTTTTCAATCTTTGACCAACCCTCAAATTTGAGGACGTGAATTCATCTCAAAGGTTACGCAAAATCAAGGGTCGCCGATTTTTGCACAAACTCTTCCTAAACTCAACGTTAGAGCGTATCTGACATATGTAGTCTTGCTAGCGGTAGCCCCTGAAATCGTTCCTCATTCCCGATAGCAGTATATCGGTATTCTACTACGCCACAACTTGACGACCCTTAAAATTTAGGACGCCTAAGGTATACGAAATGATAATATTACTCTTACTGATGCAGGCAAACGTCAATAACTAGCCTCGCAATCGAAGCGAAGATAACACTGAAGATCATGTTGGCCCTGATAAAGGGAGCCACCATATAAAATGGTGACGAAGTCGGCCTACCAACTGGTAAGGCCAGTTTTCATAACTCCTCAAGCAAAGCAACCTGGATGCTGTGCACCAATACGTTTGCCATGAAAGTAAAGTTCTTCTGCAATTAGAGGTACGATCGTTTTCATTATGTGTCCATCTAATCTTACAAAAACATGTATTCAACTGGCTAGAAAATATTCGACGGATATGTTATAACAAAACTGAAGTCACCGTGCAGTCAAGTTCGGCCGAGTGGAAAAACATTTGCTACAGGCATCCTAAAGTTACCGCACTCATGTGCGGGAGCTAATTTTACGAAAGTCGATAGATGTCTGCTTTACTTGTGAACCCTACCTTTTAACACATATAATCCGGCGCAAATTTGGATACCCAATATTGTCGTATTGGAAAATAGCATTGTTATTGTTCTGAAAACAAAAGCTGATACTTACAGTTTGGGCACATCGTTTGATTATATGAAAAGTACACCATTTATAGACATCTCTGAGCGAAGCATTAGAATAACGTCGAACTGGTAAATCAGCCCACGTTACTGGTAAATCAGCCCCAGGACGTCAGTAATGTAGGAGCAAAAGCTAGAAATTACAGGTAAATGAACAGTAGCTATACATTCGCTAAATGTTAACATAACAGTCGACACCTTTCACTTTGCTATCTCCATTAGGGATTTTTACTCTCCTTAATAAAACAAGACTTTACTTCTAAAACCAACATCTCGTAACGACAAGTTGACTTAAATTGTGCCTATATCTTTAAAAATAAACAGAATAGTCAATCACACACTTCCGCAACATCCGAACGCTGCCCTTTCAAAATAAAGAAAAAAAAAACCGCAGTGCACCGCTTTCCAGAACTGAAAGGCTAAATTCTTATCTGAACAGGACTTTTTCTATTGCATATACGGCAAACGAGCGCCTTATTTTTATTATTATATTTTATATACCGAAGCGCTAGAGGCGTTTAAGTGAATAGCTAATCAATAGAAGATAAAAATTATTGAGCGATAGCCGAAAATTGTCTGCAGGACGAGTTTCGACAGTTCTGGGTTCTTCTTTACCCAGTACCGACGATTTCTGGACATACTGACGTTTCGATACAGGCAGCTCCAGCAATATCATCGCCTCCACTTTAGTATATACGTATTATGTGTCCGTCTTTTATATAACATTTTAAACAGGATCGTTTAGCGGGATCGCACGCCCGGTCTAACGGCCACCGACTTGATCACAATCGTTTATTTACCATCAAACGCCATCAGCGATGAAGTGGCGGAGACATCTGTAAAAGTGGTCATTTAACTCAACTCGGGAATAGTACATGGGATATATATAAGCACAATATTACTCAGATCGTGACATGCTATGTGGGCCGATATCTTTATAAGGCTTTAAGAGGCGTCTTTTTAAGCTACCCTGCTACCATTACAATGGAAGTGTTCGTTAAAGCCAGGGAGATTATTTGCTTCTCTGTCTTTTTTTTTATATATAGTATCGCGTGCGGAGCCTAACAGTCAGATGGAGCAGCTGCTCAACAATGTACGGGATCGATCCAAACTGTTCAAAATGCTCAGTAATGATGCAAGTTTAAGATAACAGCAACGTTGATATCCACCGAAATTCTAAAATATACATGTATTGAGTATTGCTAAATAATTACATTTTATTAATTAATTTATAAAATATATTCGTGAATAAATAAAATTATAGGTGAGTTTGGAATGGACTTTTGCATTGGCAATAAACATTTTTACTGTAAGGACCGAAAAGACCTTACCAGATGCTTTTGGACAATGTTATGCTTTGAAAATAGGTCTAAACAGCGGACAGTTCGTAAATTGTACTGGAATATATTGGCTTTATTCACGTTTACTTTTAGACCTGCTTTTACGCATTACCCGCTTCCCGCCAGGGCCTTGTCTTTAGCGGCCGAAGAAGAAAAACACTAATTATTATTACATGATTGTATAAGAAACATTTAGTAGTTTATACCAGAGCAATAGTCCTACCCTAGTAAGCTGCTCTGGCAATAAAAGCCCCCATCTATCAATCACATATTTTCTCGGAATCAGGATAATCCAACTATTCGAAACGGAAATCCACCGGGGGTTGCTATGTCGATACGCAATATGCTCTCTCTCCTGAAGACTAAATGCCCTGCCCATATGCCTTGCTACAGGGGCAACTTCGTTCGTCCCTAAGAGACGTTCTGGCTGTCATTTTGGTTAAAGTAATAGACATCGACTAACGACAACAATACAATAGGCTATAGTTTCAGTTAATACAAGGCCGTTCGAAGACGGTTACCAGTTATAAGCAAAATGTAATCATTGCCGACGATTTTTCAATTTTTTTTTAATTTTAATTTTTTTTTTCGATCCGATATTGCATCGTTATTATTAAGCCCATTGTTGCATCGTGTTTGCTGGATATTTGCATACCTACCTAGGAATATGGTGTCGTATATGAGAATTACTAATATATTGGCATATAAGCTATAGCAACATTTGTTTCAGCAATTCGCATTGTACAGTGATAATCATTTTACATTACAATAAAAAAAAAACACAAAAAACAACAGCCCAATTAACATTGATTTTTCATCAAAGATCCAAGTATTTGCCAAATATGATTATTTTCAACGTTCACCCTCATTGAAGACTAACTCTAGATGATCCCCCTAGTAGTCGAGCCGAAACATGGTAATAAGAACTTTTTAACAGGGTTCAACGTGATGTTGTTTACGTATGATCGGGTTTAACAGAGCAATGTTTATTTAACGTGACCTGGTGGTGTTAAATTCGTTCTTGTTATTCTGTGTTGAAACAAGTTTCTTATGAAT